GATTTTGTGAAGGTGTTTACAGTTGGAATTGGGTGTTTTCTGTCTAAAAATGATGTGGTTTTTTTTTCTTCAAAGCCTTCCTCTTGAATGTAAATAATTATTGATGGCACAAACAATCCTTAGGAGTCTCTCTAAATTGCATACCTACAGACACACTTCCATACCTCTTCAGGAATGACTCTCCTTCTTTTTGTTTTTTTCTCTGCTTCTCTGACTATAATAACCCCCCAAACATTTTTTTATTCCTTGTCTGCTGTGTGTTATCTGGAAACATAAGCCTTTACTGCTATTCATCGAGGAACAGGAAGTGATATGTACTCTTATTCTACTGTCTAAAGCTTCCTCTGAGCAATGGCCTTCCTGTCCTTTTCTCATAGCATTATTGTTCTCTTCCAGTTCTTTGCAGGATAACTAGAGGTGCATCTGAAAGCATGTTTAGGTGGAATTTATATTTTTATTTTTAATACTCAATTTCAAATTAGCTTTCTACTCACCAGGTATTGTTCTGTTTATTCAAACTCATTGAAATATTAAATATCTGCTTTGGGGCAGCCAATGCCTTCAGAATTATAGAAACTAAGATAAGTGATGCTCATTATCAGTCTTTACTCAAAATGTGCAGAAAAATATGTGAACAGACAGTGACAGTAAAATATAGCTGTCATGGTGTAGGTGGAGGGTTGCACCAGGGCTGTGGTAGTATGAAGGGGACAACAGACCATAAGGCTATCTGACCTGAAAGAAAATCTTCATAGAAAAGGAAAATTTAATCAGTGATGGATAGCAGTTCTGAAGAAATGAGGATCCAACACCTTACAGGCGAAAAAACCTATAGACAGAACAAGCTTTTATTTCTCTAACTTGAAAAAGCTTGTAGAAGGAAAGAAGAGATACTTTTGGAATGGCAGGACAAAGACTTGTGTACCAATACTCTTGGCTATGTCTCCAAGGATATGGGACTTACTGGTAGACAATGGGGAAATGATATAGACTTACATAAAAGCAGATATGAGAAGTTATCATTTCTGCCACCATCCATATTTCTCTCTCTCCATCTCCTCCATTCTTTGTCATTGTCATGGGTCAAGTTCTTCAGTTTTTCTTTAACTTACTTTAATCTGACTATACACTCTATATTTAATTAGAGTCTACTTATTTAAACCTCTCACATCTGTGCACTCCTATGGTGGTTAAAAACATGGGGCACTCTTTACTTCCTATCCTCTGATTGTATAACTTGAGAATCCCCATTTTGCCTCTCTCTCTCTCTCTCTCTCTCTCTCTCTCTCTCTCTCTCTCTCTCTCACACACACACACACACACATCTATCTATCTATCTATCTATCTATCATCTATCTATCCTCATCTATCTATCTATCATATATCTATCATCTATCTATCTATCTATCTATCTATCTATCTATCTATCTATCTATCTATCTATCTATCTATATCTATCTATCATCTGTCTGTCATATATATATATCTGTCTCTATCTATCTATCTATCTATCATCTATCTATCTGTCTATTTATCTGTCATCTAT